GGGCCTCATAAGCCTTGCCATCAAAGCCGGCTCCTCGGAGCGCAGCCGGGCCCGCGGGAGGGCGTCGGGCAGCACCAGGAACATCTTCCCTCACACCTGTGCAGGGGAGAAGCGTGTTTGTTAATAGAGATCGTCTCACGTTGTACCCTGCAATGTGAGGAGGTAGTGAAACTTGTACTGGAGACTCTTGTCTCTGTTGTGCAGGGATAAGGGATGCCCCTGGGCATGCAGAGAACACCAGCACCCCAGCTCCTCTGACGTGGCTGTGGAACATCTGCAGCATCACACACAACTGACCAGCAAAACTGGCTCCAGGGATGTCGGGACCAATAGACAAGCAGCAGCAATACTGCAGAAACACAGTCGTTTGCCCAGTTTTCCTAGGATTAAGTGATCAGCTGGTGTACCTGAATGCCCGAAGGGTGTGTGATCCCTCATGCACATTAATAACTATTATAACTATTTACCCTTCCAATGCTGGACTCCACATCCTGGCCTCTCTCCCCAGTCAGGACAAGCCAATGTGAATTGTTACAACAGAAAACACTGTCTGCACTGCTGCCAAGATGGCATTTTCCATCCTGTTGCACTTCCCAGCACAAGTCTTATCACACCAGCAGGAGATGTGCTTCCTTCAAACCTTTTCCTTACCTGCCAGGCTGTTTTGCTCTGGGCAATGCCCAAACACCCACACCCACTGCCAGCTGCATTTCCCCCCCCCACCCCCCAAATCAGCCAACAGCATCAACCCAGTCTCAGCATGTGCTGGCTGCACCCACAGCAGTTGTGATCAGTCCCTGGGGACAGCAGTTGCTCCTCCCAGCACCTACATGCCAGATTCCAGCCTGTGGGAGAAGGACACAAATCCCCACTGAGGCCAGCACTGGTGCAAGGCTCCAGCCTGCAGTCCGTGCCACTGTTACCTCTGAAGCCTATTGATGTCCCCCGTGAGCACAGCAAACCAATCCTGCTGCAGCCCAGGCTGCCATGGAGCCATAAACACAATCCCATTAATTGTTCCTCTCAGAGAAGCCATCTGCTCTTCTCCATCCTGCACTGCCATCCTGTGTGGACAATCTACTGGTTCAAGGGTATCTGTGTCTGAAAACCTCGTCATTTCCCCCTGCCTTCTGAGCTACTGAATGTGAAGAGGTATATTCCTCCTTCAGACAGCCTTTCTGCCCACATACCTATGGGGCTTGGATCTACAAATCTGAAGCAATTTCCAGCATTGCCTCATCTGTTCTTTATGAAATAATTTGACATTTGACTATTAGCTTTTCTTTATCTGCATGGAAATAAACCAGAACACAAAAAATATGCTAAATATGCCCAAGGTGCTTCTTATCCCACCGGCAGGAGATGTGCTTCCTTCAAACCTTTTCCTTCCCTGCCAGGCTGTTTTGCTCTGGGCAATGCCCAAACACCCACACCCACTGCCAGCTGCATTTCCCCCCCCCACCCCCCAAATCAGCCAACAGCATCAACCCAGTCTCAGCATGTGCTGGCTGCACCCACAGCAGTTGTGATCAGTCCCTGGGGACAGCAGTTGCTCCTCCCAGCACCTACATGCCAGATTCCAGCCTGTGGGAGAAGGACACAAATCCCCACTGAGGCCAGCACTGGTGCAAGGCTCCAGCCTGCAGTCCGTGCCACTGTTACCTCTGAAGCCTATTGATGTCCCCCGTGAGCACAGCAAACCAATCCTGCTGCAGCCCAGGCTGCCATGGAGCCATAAACACAATCCCATTAATTGTTCCTCTCAGAGAAGCCATCTGCTCTTCTCCATCCTGCACTGCCATCCTGTGTGGACAATCTACTGGTTCAAGGGTATCTGTGTCTGAAAACCTCGTCATTTCCCCCTGCCTTCTGAGCTACTGAATGTGAAGAGGTATATTCCTCCTTCAGACAGCCTTTCTGCCCACATACCTATGGGGCTTGGATCTACAAATCTGAAGCAATTTCCAGCATTGCCTCATCTGTTCTTTATGAAATAATTTGACATTTGACTATTAGCTTTTCTTTATCTGCATGGAAATAAACCAGAACACAAAAAATATGCTAAATATGCCCAAGGTGCTAAAGAAGCCTTGTAAAACCCATTTTTGAGAAATAAGAAATCAGAAACATGTTATGGTTTCACTCCCACTTATACAAGCAGGAAATGGGAACATTTGCTTCCATTGAAGGATTCCACTACCCAAAAAAAACCCAACCCTCCTTCTAGATGACACACTAACAAGATGTGTGGTGGCCATAGATGGCTACTTCAGTTTCCAAGTCCTCAGCCCTCGGATGCCACCAACAGCCAGAGGAGACAGCAGCCCACTGGTGAGATGTTCACACCTGAAGCAGTCCAGAACCCATATAAAAATAATTAAAGAATATTAATGGTAAGGTCTTTGAGGGAAAAAATAAGGACCTCAGGAGCAACAAGCACACATCAGGTCCTGTGGTGGAGAGGACAGGTTCTTGGGACAGCCCAGTTCAGCCAGGGCAGCACTGGTCAGGCTGTATCCCAGCATCCAAACATCTCTGTGGCATTATCTGCCCTGGGTTTGGGCAGGATAAGATTTTCCTGTCAGAAACGGCGGCCCTGGGAGCCAGCGAGGGAGAAGGACCTCAGCCCATGAGCTGTCACCCCACCACCAGCAGCACCCCGATGTCACCACCAGCTGAAGGCACCAGGCCAGGAGTGACTCCTGCTTTTCTTCGGATGACCACCTGAGGGCAGGCTGGGGCCTTGTCCAGCCTTCAGTTTTCTGGAGCTTTAGAAATAAGCAGCAAAATAGGATAAAATGCAACATGATTTCATTTCAGATGAATCATGCCTAACTAGCAGCTTCTTTGTTAAGGCTCCCATAGCTCTGGGTGAAAAATGGATGGAGTGAACCTCTGTCAAACACCACTTCCCAGTCTGCAGCGTAGACATCATACCGTAGTTCTCACCAAGTTCTTCCCTGGGGTTATTTGTATGACCACGAATCAGGAGGAGACCAGAAGCCCCAGGATCTGTCGCCTCTGTCACTATGCCAGAGCCTTGCATGGCCAGCCCTGTGGCCCCTGCACACTGCAGGAGACACCACCAGGCTGGGCAGCAAAGCTACTGCACAGCACCAAGCACACCCACAGTTCAGGTGGATCATTCTTGCATGAAATTACAGGTCACCTTTGACTGCAAGCTCGAATCAGAAAGCTCTGAACTTCTGGCTAGAGTGAGTAGGTCTAAGTTTAGCATCTACACTGAATGTCCACCACTTCTGCATTGAACCCCCTGCTCTCACGTGTCCTGTTAATATTTAAACTGCTGAGCACACCAGTTTCTATACAACTTTTGCAGTTCTAAGACTATGCCAACTGGGGAACAGTGTGTTAGGCTTCAAGAAAGCCACAATGAGACTGTTTGCCTGGAAAAGCTGAGGTTCTCAGCAGGTAGAAAGAAGCATTTGCCTTCTACAGAGGAAGTTATCAAGAGATGTGGAGTTGGTCAAGAAAATGTGCACAAGCTAAGACAGAACCACCTGGTAGAACTTGGGTCTCCCAGTTGCTGGGTAGACAAGGTTATCCTGTCTCCATGACCACCACTATCCCAGCACAGGTCCTCCACAGCTGCTTTGTGTCCCATCTCAATACACCCTAGAGGTGGAAGCCTTGAGCAGCCAACCCTGCAATGCTGCAGCACATGCAGCCCAACCAGCTGGGATGGGACAGCCACCCTGCTATTGCACCACTTTCCATCCAAAGAGCACAGCAGGGGTTTTGGCAGCCTAAGAAGATGGCTACAGGAAGCCAAAATTTTCAAGACCAATGTCTACAGAGACCTACTGTCCATGCTTCCCTCACTGCTGCTGTGGAGAGAGGCAGCTGCAGTCAGCTTAGGCACCACAGAGAGAACCAGGCCCACCAAGGAACTCAACTGATGACACTGACATGGTCCCATTCCTTCCATGAGCAGATTCTGCTTTACATCAGCTGACAATGTAACTTGCTGCCACAACAGTGATTTTCTCTCTTACTAATGACTTCATCCTCCCATGTCTGCTAAACCCATTTATTTATAGCCCACATTTTTTTCTCCCACTTGCTTTTGTGTTTATTTTCCTTTCTTAGGGAGTTAAGAAGAAGATGGGAGAAAAAAAAAAATTCCTCTCACTGACCTAAATGCAAATTTATTGAAGCAAATTCAGACAGCTTTGATCCTGCATGAGTAAGATGGGGAAGGAGAGGAAAGCAGGCTCTGCTGCTATCAGAACTGATCTGTACTGCTGCCTAACAACGAGGCTATGAAGCAAAAGTCATTGGAGTTTAAAGAGGAAGCTCAGCCAAAGGTCACCTGGCTTTCCTGGGTGCTTGTTATCAGAACCTTGAAAAGAGGGAGGAAGGTGACATGAGTTGATTATAGCAACAACTAGAAAAGGCTGACAGGGAAGCCTGTCACCCCTACTCAGCATGCAGGGGTGCTCCACTGTTGTAGAGCAGAAAGTCAGCAGAGACCAGGAGCTCGATCTGCTCAGACCACTGAGGGAAAATCTCTCTCAGATCCAAAGTACCTGGTAGGCAGAGAGCTAGAAAGTGCCCTGATAATGAGAATACCTTAACTTGTTTGCTGCCTTGCCTTTGCAGGTGATTTGAATGACTTTCATGGCTCCTCCATATAGCTGAAGTGGTGAGGGGAAGGGTGACAAGGGAACACAGACATACCTGCACCAGGACATATACTGGAGCACCAGAAGAATACAATGCTTCTCCCCATGTGAAGCTATAGAGTTCTTCAACCATCCAAGAGTGGTGGAGGGAAGGGAGCTCATTCATACCTACAGTGTCCAGAACTGGCCTGAAGGAGAAAGAGTGAGAAATCCTGGCAAGCTGGATGAAGCCAGAATCCCAGCAGCAGCTCTCTGGGCATCTATGATGTTGTCTCTGGCCACTTACAGTGGTTCTAGTGTCTTAAGCCACTGAAAGATCTTCAAATCTGTTATGCAGTAGTAGATCAAACCCACCTTTAAAATATGTCCCAATACAGGTGGCCCCAGACACAGAGCTCTTCCTTCTAGATATATGCACCTCTTTTGTCCATGGGTTTCCCCTTCTGCAGCATGAATAAGGCCTCTCTTCCCCACATCACAGACTAGCTCCAAACTCCTTGGCTCCAGAGGCATTTTTGTTTTATTGAAATTTAGGTGTTTGCTAAGCGAGCCATCTCTGATCTTGCTGATTGAGGACAGGCACTGCTTTCAGTCCCTAAGCTTTCTCTGTTGCTTGCTGGGGTGAACAGAGTTCAGACTTTGCTGAACTCAATTGCATCAGCCCAAAACCCAAAGAGCAGGGAGACCTGTACTAGGAAAGTGCTAGCTGAGTTCACAGGAGTGAAGCTGAGACCTTTGGGATGTGCAGTTCCCCACAGACCCCGGCACTGGCGCAGTTTTGAGCTGCACAGCCACATTTGGAGGAGCCCAGCATACAGCACAGCTCAGCCCAGCACACCAGGACAGTCAAGCTGTGCCTGATATGGATTGTCATAACCTTTGTCACAGCCACGAGGCACGCCTGTGCTCCAGGCACATGGTGCTGTGACGCGCTCCGATCTTTAAGGGCGCTCCCTCCCTGGCACTGGCTGCCTTGAACCCTTCACCCTTTGGCTTCTCTAGCCCTAGAGGAGTTTTAACCGTGACAAAGTAATTTTGTCTTTTGTTGTTTGTATTTTACAAGGGAAGGGGGTGAAGTATTTTGCCCTGAAATATCCTCTCTGGATTTGAAGAGCTGGCAACAGTTTTTTCTGAGCCAGCTTTGTGTGTTTGACATAAACTACACTGACCCAGGCATTACCACAACACTAACAAAGCTCCTTCAGGCCAGCATTTAAAGACCCATGAATAAGGTCTCCTCATATGCCCCAAGATCTATCCTGTAGCTGGAAAAGCTCCCTGATAGCAAACTGAACTTTCAAAGGGGCTATGAATACTTCTGCCAAGCAAGGGGAAAGGGCTTCCCTTGTTGAAACACACTGCAGCAAGACTGTGTGGCATAAACTCTTTTTGTGCCAGCAGGATCAAGGCAAAGGACCCATCCATGCTACTCAGTATCCAAGCTCCTGCTTCTCTCTCTCTCACAGCCTAGCATGAAGCAGGTTGGCTGCAGCATTTTGCAAGCACTACAACGGAGCCGGCTATTTCTAGAGTGACAGAGACCCAGTAAAACAGCTTAGAGCCCAGAACAATTCCTGAGTTCACCTTGTTAGCAGTCCCAGGCTACTGTTGTCTAACAATCTGTGCTAAGCATTGGCCAAGTATGGAAGCAGTGCTAAAAGCAGGCTTGTGCTATCATGGCAATGAACGAAGAGCTTGTCAGCAGAGGGAGACTCACCAGCAACAGGACTAGGGAGCAGCATAAACATTACAGCAGCACAAACATTACAAACATTACAGTATTTCCTCTACAGAATGGCTTCTAGCTAAGCATGAGTCCTTCAAAATGGTGTAACAGAGGTTTAATATGCATTTAAGTGGATTAAGTGCTGGGAAACAGAAGGAGCAGAGGGTATTTCACCATATAGCTTCATACTTCTACAAATGGATATGAATCCTCTACCCAAAACACAGATTCAAGTAACAAGCCAGTTCCTAACACATTCTGACCCTTGAAAAGTGTCCATATTCAGCATCTGGCTTTCACTTTGTCTCCAGAAAATCACCAGCAATTTAAGCTTGCTCTGAGGGTAAAGCTTACCAAGTGTTCTCCCAACCTAAGGAACTGCAAACAATGTGCAGTTGCTGGCATCAGGGCAAGCCCTATGGGGTGGAGAGCCAGAACCCAGTAGTGACTGGAGCCAATCCTCCCATCCCTGCCTTCAGGAAGTGACCTGCTCCTTTTTCTCCTCCAAAAGCAGACAGGGGAAGAAAGGAGCTGGCTGTCACAAGAAACAGTCAAAAAAAGAGGTGCTACAGCTGCAGGGAGTTTGTGATGTGCTGCTTTCAGCCTTCCCAAGGTGTAGAAGAAGCCACTGTCCCCTGCAGCACCTCAGGCCTTCTCAGAAGAATGTGTTTCCCACAACAAGTCACCCAACCCTGCATTTCTTGGTCACGTTTCCTCCCTCTTGGAGAGCAGACACATTCCTCTGCCTCTGCCTTTCAGCTCAGTGCCAGGTCTGCAATACACCTGACAGATAAACCAGGCCCTATCAAGGCCAAGAGCATTCCTGTCTATCACTGCACCTTGACCCATTGCATGAGATCTATTTTATCAACGGCAGGAGATATGGGAAGCATCTGGAAACGGGATTCACGTAAGGCAGGAACAGCATACCAGGCATCTCAAAAATAGACAGATCAGAAAGGTTAGGCTCGAACCAAGCGAGGCAGACAAAGCCCATTAAGCCCTGCCAGGAGGATGAGCAATGCAAACAGCGGATGCCTGTATCTGAAGTAGAGATTTTTCCCCGGTCATAGCAGAAGAATGTGTTTTAAGTAGCTGGCTTTTGGCCTTCTGCTTTGTTTACTCTTCCAAAGACAAAACCAAAAGTGATGCCATATCGCGCTTCACTGAAGCACAGATGGAAGCATCTGGGAAGGGGAGGCGGAACATGACAGAATCCAGACCAGCCTAAAGGAAGACATGGATCAACCCTCCTGCTCA